ATAGCAAACTAGCTATTGCACCCGCCCCCTGCTGCTTTCAATCACCAGAAGAGGACCTGATAGAAAAATTCAGGTCCCCCTCTGCTGATTGACAGCAGCAGTGGGCGGGTGCATTAGCTAGTTTGCAAAGTGCAATAGCCAATAGGAATCTAGCTATGCAATCGTATGCCTTTTTTTTCTTTTCTGACTGACGGTCAGGCCGCGGCTCCCGATGTCAGAAAATAAAAAATAAAAACGATCGCAGGGAAAGGTTAAATCTGCTCGATTGAGCAGATTTAAACCTTTCCGGTAAAAAGTGTTTCTCTCCCGGCCAGGATGTGTACTCACCGGCCCAAGCAGGGAAAGTTAGCCCGGGTCTGTTTTTGAGCTACAGGACTTATACAATATTGAAACCTATTCCATCAGTCTTAGAGTATAAAATAGCACATTATTTAGCCAGTAACTGTAAACAATTCCTTTTTTTTCTAAATAAATGAAGACCTTTTGAAAAGACAGGCAGCATAAGTTGACATCAGCCTATCTTTATTGAGCTTCTGATATGGATTTAGTGAATTCACACATATTGATTTTCCGGGTAACTAAGGGAAGGGGGAGGAGTCCAGTGACGTCACGGACATTGCCGTCACCAGACTCCTCCCCCCTTCCCTTCGTTAGCCGACAGCCACTTGGGGAAGGGGGGAGGAGTCCGGTGACGTCACGGACATCGATCTCCGAGGGAAGACCCGGAAGCCGGCGGAGAGGTGAGTATGGATCAAAAGAACTTTGATCAATCAAAATAATTTTGATCGATCAAAAAAATTAACGATTAATCGAGGGATTAATCGTTAATTTCCGCATCCCTAAATAATTTTAATAACCGTTTAGCCCAAATTTTTCAGTTAATCGGATTTTTAAAAAAAATACCATCATTTATTTAACATAAAGTACACAAATGGAGTGTTACAAATATAAATTTTACTTCAGAATAAAACTGCATGCACAATTTTTTGCAATCGAATCACGATGGAATGCACAGCATTGCAGTACCACGCATTCCGGTGTGGATGATCGCACTGCGGACAAGAGGTGCCAGTGAAATGAACCTCCTGCACCAAAATGTCAGGCCAAAACTAACATTTTACTTTCAATTATTGTATGTATTAGACATTTTAATTAGTTTCATGGTTTTAAAATTTGAATCGGAAAAACTCCATGCCAAATTTTATAAAATTACCAAACCTTTGTTTAAAGTAACAACAAAATTGGACAAAAAAATACAAATGTATTTAAAAGCCCGTCATCAGCTTAAAGTTAGCCATGAATATTGGCCGAGAATTATTGCTCTCACTTGCATGCAGCGATACCCGACGTGTAGCACAGTCACCGTTTACGTATGCAGGTTCACCTGACTTATGTTTCCGTTGGTATGCACATGTTCGCGATGGACTTAAAAAAATGTTTTTGTATTTTTACCTTTATTTTATTTTTTAAACTTTTTTTCCCCCGTCATTGCTATCAAATGGGGATGCTTACTAGCCCCCTATATAATAGCACATTGGAGGTGACATGTTCTCTTTACGGTGAAATTAGGGGTCTATTAGACCCCTAGTGTCACCTTCCACTTCAAAAAAGCTATTCAAGCGCACATTATTCTTGAATAGCTTCAGCCAGGGGATGACCGCTGCCTGTTGATATACTCGAGTATAAGCCGAGATTTTCAGCCCATTTTTTTGGGTGAAAAGTGCCCCCCTCGGCTTATACTCGAGTCAGCGCCAGCGCGTCTTCTTACTTACCTCGCCGAGCGTCGCGTCACTGCTGCTCCGGTGTGCGGCGCTCCGAGCGGGGTCATCTTATGTATTAAATGATCTGTATGTAGCCCTGTACTATGGATCATTTAACCCATTCATGTTAGCAGAGGATCATTGTAAATGTATTGTTGCAGGCACTCTATATGTACATGTACTATATACTACATATAGAGTGCACTGAACAATAGATTTACAATTATCCTCTGCTAATATGAATGGGTTAAATGATCCGTAGTACATGATATGTAGCCCTGCACCCCCTTTTCCACTTACAGAGCTAGGTTATTTTTCTTTTAAATAAATATTAATGTAATTTTATTGGTATCTATCTACCAGTAGCTGCCTCATTTCCCACCCTCGGCTTATATTCGGGTCAATACTTTTTCCCAGTTTTTTGGGGTAAAAGTAGGTACCTTGGTTTATACTCGGGACGGCTTATACTCGAGTATATATACGGTACTAGGCTATTTTAGTGAGTCCAGATTGGCCTTCTCCTTCCTGGTACGCTGATGTAGTTGCAGGTACCCCATAGCGATTGCCAGATGGTCCAGACCTCTTATCTCAAAGACCTATCTTCTATCCTCTCTTACAATAGCAGGCTTTAACAGCTTGGTTGTTGAGTGCCAGGTTCTGAATGATAAGGGGTCTGTCAGATGCAGTCAATGTTTTATCTAATAAATCTGTGCTCCTACCCCTAAAAAACAAATATCCCACACAAAATATTTAAGCCGCAAGTAAACCTAATCACTATCAAATATCCCTAAAACACACTGCGCTTACTTTGCATATGTATCTACACAGAAAAAATATATAAATACATAAACAAGTGACCAGAAATAAAATGCCCCTTATTTCCACAAATCTTCTATAATATAGTTCCTCACAAAACACTGATAACATTAAAAAGACATATATCCCAAATACCCGATTACATAAACTAGTGATCAAACAACAAAAAGTGTCCACTTCACAAATCTTCAATGCAATTAGGTGTCTCACATCTGTTTATGCCATAAACAGTTTCAATTAACTTCACATAAAATCCAAAGGACACACGGTGCTTATAGTGCCACAAATACGGTTCTGATCTTTGTGCAATATTGTGTGCAAAATTTCCACTCACAAGAGACAATGGACCATGTTTTTATAATGGTCAAAAGTGCTCCAAGATCCCCTCAATGAGTGTCTTAGCCCACGATTACGCTCTCTCCTTCACCGGTAATTTAGCACTCGGCAAAAAAGCAAACATCGCATTGTATAAAATCCTTAGGTAAACTTTATTAAAACCGTCTTAAAAACTTACATAGATCTGTATGTCATTAGAGACATTTCAAGAGCCTTGGCTCTTGCCATCACCCCACCCTTTCTTGGCTCACTGATCCCCAGCTTGCCTGTGCTTCCTTGACACTGCTTTTTTCATTGCTGCTGGCAACACTTCTAAGCGCTTTCCACGAATTGGGGAGCATGTGACCTGTTACCCTGTGGCAGTGTTTGGGCCTAGCAGCCAAATGTTGAGCCCAAGCACTGTCACTTGGCCAAGGATGTGTTAATTTCTCATTTTAGCGTTGGAAGCAATAGTAAAAGAGTGCAAGGGATCGCAGATGAGGTGAGTGTAAAGGGGATGAGGGCCCTTTACACAGACACTGTCACTTTTTCTTGCGTGGGCAAGGTGACCATGTCTTTTTAACTAACAATTCTTTCTAAAATCGCTATCTTTACCACTTACCATAGTCATATTATAAACATTTGCATAAAGCACATATTGTTACACTTAAACTTGATTACAAAAATAGACATAAGTAGGGATGCACCGATACCGTTTTTTTCGGTATCGAATACAAGTACTGATATTTTTTTTTTTGGTACTTACCGATACCGGAAGTCCCATTAAGTAAGCCAGGCTGCGTGTAATGACTCGCCACCTGGCTTCCTGATTAGCAGGGAAGCCGTCTCCATGCTTCCTCGTCACCAGGTGATGAGAAAGTATAGTGCCGGCTTTCTGGCCAATTAGGAAGCCGGGTGCCGTGTAATGACGGGCCACCCAACTTCCTGATTATACGTGAAGCCGGCTCCATGCTCTCTCGTCACCTGGTGAGGAGGGAGCATGAAGCTGGCTTTCTGGCTAATCAGAAAGCTGGGGGAGTGTAATAACTCGCTGTCCGGCTTTCTGATTGGCCAGCTTACCGACCAATCATGAAACCGGGCAGCGAGTCATTACATGCTGCCCGGCTTCCTGATTGGCCGGGAAGCTGGGTCCATACTCCCTCGTCACAAGTGGGAGTGTGTATCCTTATTCGTCTTACAGTGAGAGACAAGTGTTATGGGGAGGTGCGAAAAAGTATTCACCTAAAAGATATACAGGAAAAAGTATAGCATGTAAGAGGAAGTGAAAGCAGAAAAAAAAGGTTTATATGAAATAAGGAAGGGAAAGATTGGGTTAGGGGAAAGGGGAGAGTGAGTCCCAGGAATATGGAGGGGGTGGTGCTTTCAAAATAAATTGCTAGCTAGCAGTGGTCAAATTGTGATGTTTGGGGGTAGGATATTCAGAGTTGCCATTTAAGGAGTATCGGCTAGTATGACTTGTCAGTTTCTCTTTAATCATTATTCTGGTAAGCCTGTTTTTGACAGCCCCTAAGCCTAAATTGGCTTAAGCTTTGGCGATTGTCAATTTGGCAGCATATTTAATAAACATTTTATCACAAGTATTTTTGACTAGATGGACCTCTTTTTAATATAATTTAGATATCTTCTATTTTTTCAATTTACTGTTGCTCTCTGGCATAATTTGTTTTAGACATGAAAGTGATGAGCGTGATCGAAATCCTTCAGAAGAGGAGGATGAAGAAAAGCCAGGAAAAAGGGTGATGGGACCAAGGAAAAAGTTTTACTGGGATGACACACTTAGGTAATGTCTTTTGGTGATGATCGTACTCCAAGCTTCATTAATTTTACGCTATACAGCAGCATTGATGTTAAGACCACCCATTCAAAGCTCAGGTCATTCAGAAGTCGGCGAGATTGAGTCATAGTTGGAATAAAATCCAGGAGTGTAGTGGAATACAGGGCTAGATTTTGAAGCAGGTTAGTAATGTTAATAACTGACATAAAAAAATAATATTTTTTAACTAAATAAAGCTGCACTTTAGACTTAAAGGAGAACTATGGGGTTAGGGATTTTCCCCATAGTTCTCCCTTAGGGTAACGGGAGGACACAAACTAGCGTCCTCCCGTCACCCTAAGCTCAGTATACCGCGAGCTGCAGCTCGCGGTATACTGAGACGCTGCAGCTGAAGCGGATCCCGACAATTATGTCTGGATCCGCCCAGCTGCGTGAGTGACAGCTGGCTCTGCCTATCTAGAGGCAGAGCCAGCTGTACCCACCCCGTCCATTCCGCCAGTCGGCACTGGAGGATCTGAGCGGGGAGGGGGGAATCCAGTCCCTCCCCTGTCATGACAGAGAGCCGTGACAGGATCGAGACGTGAGCGAACGCCGGTATGTGTTCGACAGTCTCATTGTTACAGGTAGGCTCGAACTATGAGGATGAGTGAAAAGCACTCACCTCATAGTTCTCCTTTAAGCTGAACAGTGAGAAATTATGTGAAAAATATATATATTTTTGTATTATTTCTCTCGGGCCACCTTTTAGTATGGCTTCTATTTGTATATCTTCATTTAATGTTAAGAAAGGGACTTAATACTCCTGAAAAACGTAGAATGATCTATCTGAGCTATGTAGACAAATAACTCGGATAAGGCTTTTGCATGAAACCCACTTTCAGATAAAAAAGGCCCCTTCCCTTCAGGATCATCATTACCCTACGGTCTATCATAGTTATTCTCCTGATAAAAGATCGAGGGGGTTTAGTATTCTCATTTCAAATAAGATACTGTGGAGTGTGAGGGATGTACATGTGGGGGGGCACTTATTGATGATTAAAAAGCACATGTAGTGGTGATTTCAAAGCAAGGGAAGAATCCTATGGTCTGTTCAAGTTGCAGAGCCATGTCTCTCAATGTGGATACTAAGATATATGCAAAGATTATAGTTATGAGTCTGCTCCCATATATTAGTGATCTAATCCATTTAGATCAAGTGGGTTTTGTTCCCACTCGCGATGCCCGAGATAACGCCATTAGGGCATTTAATCTTGTCCACTCGACCTAGTGGGGAGCCCCTCCTTTATCCTCTCAACAGATGCGGAGGAGGCCTTCGACAGGGTCATTTGGACATTTATACGTTTAACATGTGAATTTATAGGTCTGGGACCTCAAATGATGTCCTGGATAATATTACTGTACTCGACCCCCTCTGCTTGTTTGCATGTGAATGGAATTCTGTTGTCGTCTTTTTCAATAACAAATGGCATTAGACAAGGTTGTCCACTATCCCTTTTAATTTTTATACTCTCTGTGGAATGTTTTTTACGCACAATTCGAGCCAATCCTGATATTAGGATCCGATAGGAAATTAGGTATAGGTATACTGATAGGTAATTATCACCATAAAGTAGCAGCATATCCAGATGATTTACTTTTTTTTTTTTTGTCTTCACCAGAAATCTGTTCCAAATCTTTTAGCTGAATTTCAGTTATACAGGGAACTGTCAAATTTTCAAATCAATTGTCAGAAATCAGAGGCATTAGATATCACTCTTTCTCACAAACTTTTCAAAGTCCTAGGGCACAATTTCTGCTTTAATGGTCTTCCACTTCGATTAGAGACATAAATAGCAGTTATGTATTCACAATAGACCTGTGCAACTGCACACATTTTCATGAATTGTAATATTTTTCAAAATTAAAAATGGCCGCCCACCTTTGTGACATTTGTAACCCATATTGTATTTGTTTATCCAAAATTGACTGCGCTAGGAAGGTGAATTAAATTAAAGTACCAGCTGCAACAATGTGTATCAGTGTGATCAGATGTGAACTAGTATGTTGCGCTTGGTTGAAATCTCTTACATGCGATTTTGTTTCAATATTTCAGGTCATAGTATGACTTTATACAGCAATTACATCTGTAGCTGTAATAGTTCCTGAGAAACAAATCCTTGAATATGGAGCTGAATATAATCGCCTAAAACAAGATGGCTGCCAGGCAATGTGACCTATGACCTTTATATTGCATCAGATTAGTCATAGCACAGGTCTCTACCATTGGGCCAAGTTGTATGAGTTTGAGTAACAGTGCGCTTATTATAGGCTTTGGAAAAATAGGCCATGACAATAATAACACTGTCTAATAATCATTGGCGTGCAGCGGCCATTTTGATTTTGGGATCTGACCTATTTCTACAACCATGGTAAAAGAGGTTGCCCTGGACAGATGTGCAAAGTTTTGAATTATTCTGATATATGGTTTCAGAGATTGTTGTTTGCAGAATGTTGCACAATCCAAAATGGCGGCCAAACCATGTGACCAATAGAGCTATTATGAACACATGTGGCAACAGCGCAAAGCATATCCTCACATAGCAATTTGTACATTTGTAGCTTTAGCGGTTCTGGCAAACAGGCTTCTGAATAGTTCACAAAAATTGTCGCAAAAACCAAGATGGCTGCCACATCATGTGACCTATGACCTTTTATATTGTAATAAGCTTTGCGGAGCACAGGGCTGTACCATTCTGCAAAGTTTCATTAGTTTTTGAGTAATAGTGCACTTATTACAGGCATTTGAAAAAAGCGGCGGAATAAAAAAAATATAATAATAAATATAGCTGCAAGCAGCAATAAAGGTGGCCAAGCAGTAGAGTCGGTTATAGCAAATGAGAAGACATTGTAGTTAGAGAGAGAAAACTAGCAGGACATGATTTCATGAAATATTAAAAAAAATTCAAAATGGCCGCTGACCTTTGGAACACATTTTGACTTGTAATAAACGTATATGGCTGTAGACATCAGCATATCCTCACATTGCAATTTGTATATCTGTAGCCTTAGCGGTAATGAAAAAACAATGTTTGAAAATAGTCAGGAAAAAATTTGCTTAAACCAAGATGGCCGCCAGAGCATGTGACCTATGACCTTTATATTGCCAAAGATTAAACACAACACAGTTCTCTACTATTGTGCCAAATCTGATGAGTTTTTAGATAACGGTGTGGTAATAATTAGCATCTGAAAAAAAGAGCATCAAAATAATAGGAAAATGTGTCGAATTTGACACCAGGCAATATGGCCGCCAAACCATGTGGTCAATTGACTTGTAATGATCAGTTGTGAGTGCAGATCACGGTATAACTATACATAGCAATTTGTACACCTGTACCTGTAATAGTTCCTGAGAAACATGTTTGAATATGTAGCTGAATATCGTCACCTAAAACAAGATGGCTGCCAGGCAATGTGACCTATGACCTTTATGATGCAAAAGATTAGGCATAGCACAGAGCTCTACCATTGGGCCAAGTTGCATCAGTTTGTTAGTAACAGTGTGCTTATTACAGGCTTTTGAACAATAGGCCATAATAATAACACTATCTAAATACCATTGGCTTGCAGCAGCCATATTGATTTTGGGATCGGGCCAGTTTCTACAACCGTGGTAGAAGAGGTCGCACTGGACATATGTGCAAAGATTTGAATAATTCTGATATATGGTTTCAGAGTTTAACCACTTCAAGACCAGGTGTTTAGACCCCCTTCCTGGCCAGGCCATTTTTCAGTGTTCAGCGCTGCGATACTTTGACTGACGTTTATTCCGTCATGCAACGCTGTACTGAAATGAATTTTATACCATTTTTTGGGGACAGATAGGGCGTTATTTCGGTGGTATTTAATCACCACTGGGGTTTTTATTTTTTATTATAATTAGGAAAAATTACAGAAAATTTTGAAAAAAAAAATTTTTTTTTACATTATGTTAGGAAACATTTATTATTATCCAGTTTTTTGGTAAAATATAAAAGATCAGGTCACGCCGCGTAAATAGACACCAAACATGTCAAGCTTTAAAATTGCGCGCACCCGCGAAATTGCAGAAAACTACCATACCCAACATTGGCCATAGGCGACACTTTAAAAGCTTTTACCGCTCATCAGTTTAGTGTTATCAGTGATTGATGGCACTAGACTTATTGCTCTCACTCCAACGTTTGCGGCGATATGTAACATGTGCGGCGTAATGGGCGCAATCGTCTTTTTTGCACATATGCGCCCCCGACGCATGTTTGCATGGGTGTATGTATGGGTGGGAACTTACATTTAAAAAAAATAAAAAAATTTCCACTAAACTTTATTGCTATCACATACGGGGGCTAATTAAACTCCCCTATGTGATAGCAAAAGAGGTGACAGGTCCTCTTTATGGAGACATCAGGGGTCTCCAAGACCCCTAATGTCACCTAGGACCCCCCAAAAAAGCTGATGAAGCACAGATCTGCTCCATCAGCTTCTTTCCAGCTTCTGAGCGGAAACAGCACAGCGGAACCCGGGATCAGCGGGACAGCGGAGGGGGATGGGGCGACCGATCGGCACCCCATACACACGATCCGCCGGCTCTACAGCCGGCGGATCGCTTGTATGGTAACAGGCATCGCTGCCTGTTTTTAAATAGCGGCCATTTCCCGCTCACGAGCGGAGCGTGCGAGGGGGCGTGTCTGAGCGGATGTCTAAAGACGCCCGCTCAGATCTAGAGAGCTCCCGGCCGGCCGTTTTTTTTCCTACGGCCGGCCCGGAGGCAGTTAAGTTGTTTGCAGAATATTGCACAATCCAAAATGGCTGCCAAACCATGTGACCAATAGAGCTGTAATGAACCCATGTGGCAACAGTGCAAAGCATAAGATCACACAGCAATTTATACATCTGTAGCTTTAGCGGTTCTGGAGAAGCAGGTTTCTGAATATTTGCAAAAATTGTCACAAAAACCAAGATGGCTGCCACATCATGTGACCTATGAC